CAACCACGTCCGGTCAGACTAGGGAGTTAAATTATATGCTTCGTGTAGAGAGAGTGCCACACGCTTTGACCGTTAAGAACACATACAACAACTCTTTGGGGTCCGTAGGTGAGCTGTTGCAAGGGAGAATAATGCTCCTATCTAATATACCTTCATTTACAGTGGTAGTCCAAATTTTCTTGACCTTCATCCCGGAAAGCGTCTATTACAAGATCCACTTATTTTATCTATTGTTAATTTGTTCTCGTCTTGAACATGCATGACATATTTGCCACTGGACTTTAAGCAAACATCGATAAGTCAATCAATTTCCTTCCAACCCCCTTTCATTTCTCCTTTAGTAACAGTAGGGGAAATTTTGCATTATAAATATGTTTTTCTTCCCACACTCGCCCACCAAAACAACCTTTTCTCTTATGCGCCAATTTGTTTGGTTATTTTAGTTGGTTACGTATTTGTTGATTGTTTTACACTCAAACATCAATTTAACATCAGTTCTTTAAACAATCATGTATTGTTCAATCAATGTAAACAATCAAAGCAAACTTTTACACGGATGAGTACATTCGATGAGCTAACATATATCATACGGTGATTAGAGAAAGGTTCCGATTTAAGTATTCCTTAGTTAAGTGAAGACTTAAGTAATGTTATGCATACGACTTAAGATTTTTACTTAACTAAGGAAATTCTTAGTGAAATCTAAGTTTAAGGAACACTTAAGTTAAGATGTTGTATGCATACGGGCCCAGAGTTCACATGATGAAGATTTAAGCAGTTTTAGGTCACCGTATAATTGCTTATGTCGGTATACATTTTTATGCAGGGTCAGGGTAAAACTAATCAGTATCTACCAAATCAGTTATTATATGATTTATGGTCAAATCTTATGAACGGATCATATTTTATGTAATAAATGTCGTTCAATTCAGATATTTAAATGTTTTATAGTAAAACTACTGAGAATTTTGTCAACGTAGAAGTTAGTTCCTTTCAAAAAGATGGATTTTTTGAGTCGCTCTCAATCATCCTGATTAACGTAAACTGCAAAGCCAAGGCTGCTTAGGATTTCAACTATTCCTTGTGAATAAGTAGGTCGACATATTTCATAAAGGTGTAAATAATGGCAAATGTGTCAAACCGTAAACTACAATCATAGACTGTTGTGAATTTCACAGAGGTATTTTCAGAAAATTACCGACAAAAAAAAAAGAAGCAGAATCATTTTCAACATGCAAAAAACTGCATACATGTAAAACTGTATGTAAAGTGCATTTAAAAAAACAAACCGGACATACAAAATCGCATAAAATATGTTAAACAAATATGCTTATTTGAACTTTATCGATAACACGAAAAGAAAAATAAGTATTTATAACAGACCTTCCTCGCACAATAATATTACGGTTTTATGACACCACAGTATTAAGAATGGATGATGATACCAAGAGGACAACAATCATCATCAATTCTATGTATGCTATGTCAAGCAAAAGGTATTAAACTTTTCCAAAATGTTTGTTTTCGGTAAGACTACACAGCTGTGCAATGAGAGAAGACAGTCATGAGGGGAGGATCCAGGTTTGTTACGCCCTACACACTCCCTGAATCCGAAATGGACATTGGGTGTTTGCAAATGTACATGTAGTATAGGAAAAAGGGCTTTGATTGTTGCTCATCATCTAGATGATAATTACGGAGAGGTTAAATATGGACTAAAAAATCAAAGAAAATATTTTAGGTTCAAAATATAGTATGTCAGGGATGTAAATCTGGGGCCGGTAACAAGAAATTTTGTAAAGAGAGGTCGTAAGTATTGAATTAAGGGGAAGATAAGATAACCCTAAGATCATTCAAAGAGTGTAAATCAAAGCTCCCTCAGGTTGTTCGTAGATCGGTCTTATTTCCCCCTTAATTTGCATCGTAATAGTTTTCATGTTACGAGTTCTTAATAATTTTCCGGCGTCTCCGTGTTCGGCTCCTCGCGAAGAAATTAGAATCGCCTCAAATGAATCATACAAACGTTTTAATGAACGATAGCATGCGCACAAGAATCAACTAAGTACCCATTTAACCTAAGGAATTCTAACGGTTCATTCTAACAAGTAATAGCATTTTTTAAAAAGCTTGTCGTATTTTAGCTGATTATGTCGAGATCGATGGTTTGTGGGTATAGGTTTTTTATTGGAATCTTGCACTCCAAGCAATATGAATATATAGTGTTTTTTTATCTCTCCTGGTTCTTGTTTTTAGTTGTAGTATTGGTGGATCAGAGTAATGATGGAAGGAGGAATTATAGTCACATATGATATAATTTATATTTATATCCAGATAAAATTGCATACTATTGTACTTATATGTATATAAGTCTAAAAATTTGCACATCGGTACTAATATAAGATGGTATTACACAAAGATGTTGTTATTAAATCGTGTTGATAAATATATTGGCTAAAGAAAAATAGCCTTCGTCAGTGTCAATAATTTTAACAATACTGATTGTATTTGTAGAATAGCCCAGTAATACAGGTAAGTTTTGGTCTATTGATTTAATCCAAAAACTTGAACATCATAATATAAAACAAAACTCAATACTCAGATATACGTATCTGAGTATATTTACATCCCAAAATGAGTGAAAAATAAAACTGTTAGTATTTCTTATTGATGCCGTTTGGATGATGTACATTAAGTTCCTTTATCCAAAAGCTTTCCCGAACCTGTCGCTGGGCATCACTCCAGTGAATGTTCTGTTCAATCACTAGGATTTTCATGCGGTTAAAGTCATCATGTTTGTGACCCGACTGTCTGAAATGCTAAGAAACTGTGAGAAGTGGCTTCTTAGAGATATCACTACTATGGCCATTGAGGCGTTTGTGGAAAGGCTGATTTGACTCACCAACATATTGGAGGACACAAACATATTGGAGGCCACAAACATTCTAGAATGTAAATATTCATACTTTTGCAGGTAACATTGCAAAATATCCTATAGTAATTTTCGGTTGCCTTACTGTGAAAAGTTGATGAGTGATGCATCTGTAGGCAACATTTGCAGCACTTCTCCCAGTTTCTCAGCATTTCAGACAGTATATATATATAATAGCTAGAGTAGCAATACAAACACTTTTATCTTTGTTTTGAGGAATGTGATTGTTTACTGTTTATGACAATGCAAGTAGTTTTAAAATGCATACTGTGTCTGGACAGTTATGTAATAGTTTGTGAGGTTAATATAATCAACTTGATAAGAAAAACGTATTATTTACTTTTGAGCATTACTGTTTGACAAAATGAACTACTACAGAAGGCCGTTCAAATATAAGAATATTACATCTTATATGTATAGAAGTGATGAATATCTTAACTGGTTTTGTCTTAGAAGAAGCAATTAGTTTTGACGGTACAGTTTAAGTGTTGTTACTAATTTCCAGATGTAGTAATACTGTAAGAAGATGTTTTGTTGTAATTGATTTGGAATGAAATATTAATTGCAAATAAATTTCTAGAACATGTTGTCAGCTGGCTTCTTATATCTTTTGATACATTACGTTGTGGTTTGTAATCTTGACATTTTTTTGTAATTTCTATAGATGAGAGCTTCATATTGGTATTAGCATTTAGTGCTTTATATTTGGTTGCATGTGTAAGCATATGCTTTTGTTAGTTGGAATATTTATATTTCCATTTCTGATGGCTACCAGTTCATGTTATACATATAGGCAGGATTATTAGTAAGCGATAGTTGTTATAGTTTTATTTGTTTATGTTTATTGTCATGATTGATATAGACTATATAGCTTGCTGCTTGGTGGGAGCCAAGGCTTCGTGTTGAAGACCGTACTTCGACCTATAATGGTTTACTTTTACAAATTGTGACTTGGATGGAGTGTTGTCTTTGGTACTGATATGACATCCTGTTATATCTGTCTACAAGATTGAGAACACATTTTTGTAATAAAACATTTAATTCTATAATATCATATATAACAATTTATCAGTAATTTGTGCATTTTTCCTTTGATGTGTACTCTCTGATAATGTCAGTATCAGTTGACTGGTCGTGATAAAAAATTATTGGGTCAGTAAGTAATTGACATACGCGGGTGCACCGCGTAAGGATCTTCTTTCCCCTTTCATTCACAAAATCGCGCGTGATTTTTTTCGCAGAAAGTTTCAGTAAAGTTAGTTTAGCCTTTTTGACATACATACAGTAGCAACCCCATTTTATTATATTATTAACAAGTGAATGTGCAGCTAAGAGTAGTCGGGACCACTCTTACAAAAATTATCAAGAGAAGCTATTGCGAGTTGTTCTTGGTACACCCCTAAGTCGCTAAGTTTGTTTTAAGAACACTAATCACTGACCAAAATTTAAGAATGATTTAGTGTTACCGGAATTAGTAAGATCGCTTTAAGGTAGACTTAAGAATCGTTCTTAAATCACGCACTTTTTCAAAACATTAAGGGCTGTCAATCATTCTAAGATAGGTCTGAGGTTGGGTCTTGTTACACTCTTAAATCCTAAGACGCTCTTTAGACGTTCGTAAGACACAAGAATGCTTCTTGTTACCGGCCCCTGGTCTTAAACATTTCCCGTAATGCTTTGGATTTTTCAGGCAACTCTGATTATTATTTTTTTTAAATACACCTGAACCACAATTTTTTTCATAGTTTTGTCAAACATAATATTTTTTTCAATGCAGCGAAAGATTATTTTTTGTATTCCCTTTGGAATCAGAATGTTAATTTTTTTTCTTTTTAATGTCTCCGTCTTTAAGTTAAATGGTTGTTCCCTAATCGACTTATTTGAAAAACCACAAATTATGGGTAGTTTCACGTTAGATTAATGACGTCGTAATTCTGTATTCTGATTCACTACTTCGTCATAGGAAGGTGGTGGTTTCCATAATGACGAAGATCTGGATTCGTCTGATGTGTTTCCAAACGTCCATTCGTTACTAGAGCATCCAGAGGTAACTATAGTGATATCAGTTTGGTTGTTGGCGGATGCAGAAGCCACTCTCCTATTCACATCTTCAGACTGTTGTGTATAACGTCTCATATTTGTATTGCCCATTTGTTCGGTTCCAGACCCACATGAACGTAACAAATTTAGGAAAAAGAAGACAAATAAAACAATACAAGCAAACGTTATCCCGTTATAATCTCGTAGGCAGATTTCTTTATTGCTTTTAGCTACAGTTTTGTTTCCAGTAATCTCTTCACAATCTTCAAACACGTGTGCATTACGAATGAAACCTCCAACAAATACCCAACCTACACATAACCAGGCAAATGATGTCCATAGCACTAAACTATATGTTTTAACCTAAAACATAATATGTTATTAGTTAGTCAATAGAATATTTAAGCATATGTAAACGTTTAAAACATTTGGCACGTATTCTTTCTTCACAACATATCTTTAACATGTAACAAATTCTATACCGCCACATAAGTAAAAAAACATCGACAAATGTTGTAGTATGTCATATGTTTATGTTTTCCGTTTTTGGAAGGGACCCCGGTGGCCAAGTGGTCGAAGTAGTTCACCCGTGACCGCTAGCCTGTCAACATTGATGTTGTGATTGGATAGGTAATTGACAAATGCATTTTTTAAAATTCGAATGATACCACATACTTCTCGAATAAAATTGAGAATGGAAACGGGGAATGTATCAAAGAGACAACAACCCGACCAAAGAACAAAAAAAAACAGCCCAAGGCAACCAATGGGTCTTTAATCAGCGAAAAAATCCCGCACCCGGAGGCGGGCTTCAGCTGCCCCCTAAACAAAAATGTGTTCTAGTTTAGCGAAAATGGAAACATATTCTAAAGCCGTTTGTAGTTTCATTTTTTTGCAAACCAGGCGTTGAAAGACACAGAATTGTCTGAAGTTTTACTTCAGTCTTTATTTTGTCTTCGGTTGTTTTATTATCTCCTGACGTAAACGCACACAATAATCATTGATAATTTTGATTTTAATAATCGAAAAATAAATAAACCAGTTACAATCATTTTCTAATTGTGCCAAGGTCATAAAAATCCTATAAAAATTATCAACGATAGGCTAAAAAACCATCCAGCCATCCATCAAAGATCTGCAAAAAACATTCAGTTCACCAAATATTCGTTTTTAATCGATTGTTTGTTTTTGTGTAACCTCAATGCCATATTCTCCAGTCTCTATGTATTGCCACAGACTTCAACTTACCCGGTTCTTTAAATCTTCGTAGCGTTGTTCATGTTCTGCTTTAAGGATCAAGCTTGTTATAAAACCATTTCCAAAAGACTGAAACATATATAAATTACAATCTGGGCCTATTTTTTAAACTCCGAAACAGCAGTGGCGTTGCTTTGCTAAACTTTCAAGTCAGCGCGTTACCACTATTTCAGAGTTTGCCGAATTATAGCTTTCCATATACGTACACGTCGTACATCGTTCAGATACAGATCTAGGATTTTGAAAAGAGGGGGGGGGACTAGGCAAACGCTAGGAGTTGAATTTGTAATAAAGTCTATGCATTAACCCTACATAAAGCTCTATAAAGGGAACTAGGAACCCTGCCCCCCCTAACCCGCCTCTTTCGTTAACTTGAAATAAATTGATAAAATGATATAAACTATCTGAACCAACTTTGAAGTTCAGAAAACAAAATCGGCCTACAATATTGAGTTTATAAATGCTGTTCTGTACGTTATAAGTTCGAAGAGCAATTATTCTTTTCCTGAATTGTGTGTATAAAAATCGCCGTTCCTTTATCATGCGAATTCTGCTACCTTGCTTGTCATTGATTGGTTGATTGTTGGTTGCTTGACGTCTGTTTCCCCATTGAGAAAACGTGGACTTCGCTATTTATGAGGGTCTGGATGGGGTCCTTCTTTTTTTATTTTGTGTTTTTTAGACCACTTGTCTATATTCTTTAAAAGGCAGATAAGAGATTCAACAGTAGCCACGATAATGTAAACTTGTGTTAGACACTCTCGTCAATATTTTGATTCCTCTCCCGCCAATTACTCGCAAGGAACCAGTCTATTATGAGTGATTCACTCCTGTCGAAACCAGTTACAGCCTGCGAGGTATTCACTCCTGTCAGAATAAATGCATGAAACTTTTGTTAGATTATTGTCAACGCACTTAATGAAGATACTTTACCACTGACAGCTAACAGATAATGTTATTGCATATAAAGAGGGAAGTGTTCCCGTAAAATCGTCGTAATCAAGGAGGTTGCACAATTTAAAGGCATTCGTTATTGTATAAATTATAAATGGATATAAATAATCAGAATAAACAAAAATTAAAACCTGCTCAGTTATTTCTTACCAAACCGGCAAACAAGAAAGCTCCGTAATAAAGTTGATACCATGCGCCAATATCCCAGTCTAGTTGATTACGCAGTTGTGAAAAAGAAACTCCACCGACGACGAACAATCCCAATGAACAACCAAAAAATATCCCACAACTTGATACTGAGGTCCTCAAAATCATATCCCTCTGTTCTACTGAAAATCATTAAGGGTAAAAAAAGAGTCATCCTCTAGAAATTATTCTGTGGCTGTACATGTACTATTTGTAGTTGTTAGTTTTTGTTTTGAATGAAAAATTTACGTTTCTAATACTTTGCTAGAAACATGTATCTTATTCTTGTACTTTCCCACTTATCATCGTAATAACTGTAAGATTACTCGACCTTAATTATTATTATTTTTGTGGAATTGTTTTTTGGGTACTTTTTTGTCATATATCTCTTCAACTGTTTCGGTTCTTATACATCTTTGGCCTTAAAATATTCGGCTTTGAGCATTGAAATCTTGAAGGTAAATCCAGAAAAGCGCTTCGGGCGCATGGACATTTATAAAGTGTGGTTTTCATTTTTTGTACGACTTTGCCCCCAGGAGAGCTATAGAAAAACAGTACAATAACGGGTGTTGTACGACTTTGCCCCCAGCAGAGCTATAGAAAAACAGTACATTAACGGGTGTTACACGGACACTTTTTAGATGATACACGGACACTTTTTAGTTGTTACACGGACACTTTTTATGAATAGAATCACTCGTGCATGATCAGTGAGTTCATGGGCACTTTAAATTTCAATTAGATTTGAACTTTTTGTTTCACCGACATATTTCCTGTCTTTTTAATTAAAAATATTTACGTTAGCATCAATAACTATATTTTTTTCAAACAATTCCAGTAACTATTCATATTAGTACACTAAGGGGTTGACCATTTAACTTCAAAAGGCCGGTTATGGTTTTTTCCTAAAAAACACATTTTGATCCCCAATTTTATGAGAAAAAATATATAATGTCAAGCAGATGACACTGAAAATAATGTTCTGGCTCCTGATTTTCCGAATACCGTATATAATAGTGCTGATTTCGAAAAATAAAATATTTGGGCGATAGCGTTGAAAAACTAAATAATTTTCTTACTCAGAAAAGAACACACCCCCTTTTGAAGCTAAATGGTCGGTCCGTAAATGTATTTTTTTTCAATATATGGACACGAATAGTATTCTGGACAATGCTGAAAGAAATGCTGGTACCAACGTTTATATTTCAATAAAAAGACAGGAAATATATATATAAAAATCAAATCTAATCAAAAGATAAAATCCCTATCAACTCACCAATGCACGATTGATCCTATAAATAAAAAGTGTCCGTGTAATACATGTTCAAATATGCAGCAAATCGTAAAGAAAATCATTCAACTTATGTCATCAATTTTGGACGGTAAGCTCTGATTGGATCATATAGTGACACGTGTTTAATCCTGATCAACACTATCAGAGACATATAAAAAACCTATAAGCATGAACATTTTTTTTTTAATCCAAAACATATGCCTATATATATATATATAATAACAAGACATGGACATGGCACATCAAAAAAAGGATGAAGCCGGTTTATTTTAAATTTATTTTACCCCCCCCCCCTCCCCCCTCCAATAAAATCAAATGGTAGCTTGCTTACCTCTGAAATCTTTTTTATACATTACTTACTTGCGAAGTTGCATTTCAAAAAGTCTCAAATGTGTATAACATTCACCTTTAACTTGAAATGGTTCTTTTTATAAAGTTATTAGATTCTTGAATTTTTTGAGAAAAAACTCTCGGCTGAAGGGAAGTGAGAAAAAAAATTGAGTTTAAACTGTAACTTACATTAACTGGTATATTGCCATTTAAGTTTCTAATATCTTTAGTTTTGCTACCTCTTCTAAATGTAAAATGTACTTCTTCCTTCTTGAAATGTCGTACAAGTCAGATACAAAACAAAGGTAACAAAAAACAGGCCGGAAACAACCTGCCGTATAGTTTGTCTGCACTTGTAGTCAGATCAAGGTCCTCGGCTATCGCCTCGGACCTTGACCTGACTACTCGTGCAGAAAAACTATCCGGCAACGGTTGTTACCGGCCTGTTTCTTTGTTACCTTTGTATTGTATCTAATACTTACACGGACACGTTTTAGATGATACACGGACACTTTTTAGTTGTTACACGGACACTTTTTATGAATAGAATCACTCGTGCATGATCAGTGAGTTCATTGGCACTTTAAATTTCAATTAGATTTAAACTTTTTGTTTCACCAACATATTTCCTGTCTTTTTTATTAAAATATTTACGTTGGCATCAATAACTATATTTTTTCAATCAATTCCAGTATGTTACTATTCATATCAGTACACTAAAGGATTGATCATTTAACTTCAAAACAGGGTTATGGTTTTTTTTCTAAAAAAAATAATCTGATCCCCTATTTTATGAGAAAAAATATATTGTGGTCAAGCGGATGACAAAATAATGTTCTGATTCCTGATTTTCCGAATACCGTATATAATAGTGCTAATTTCGAAAAAAAAATATTTGGGTGATAGCGTTGAAAAACTAAATAATTTTCTTACTCAGAAAAAACATACCCCTCTTTTGACGCTAAATGGTCGGTCCGTAAATGTATTTTTTTTCAATAAATGGACATGAATAGTATTGTGGACAATGCTGAAAGTAAAGAAATGCTGGTACCGAAGTTTGTATTTCATTAAAAAAGACAGGAAATATATATAAAAAAGTCAAATCTAATCAAAAGATAAAACTAGCAACTCACCAATGCACGATTGGTCCTATAAATAAAAAGTGTCCGTGTAATACATGTCCAAATAGGCAGCAAATCTTGAAGAAAATCATCCAACTTATGTCACCAATTTTGGACGGTAAGCTGTGATTGGATCATATTGTGACACGTGTTTAATCCTGATCAACACTATTAGAGACATATAAAAACTTATAAGCATGATTTTTTTTAAATCCAAAATATATGCCTATATATATTTAATAACAAGACAAAAACCATTTTTTCACAACATTTCATTCACTAATGAAATAGGAAATTCATTTATACATTTATATTGTTATTGAATTCATATATATTGAATTCATATCTTTGGGAGCAAACGTACGATTTTTATTATTTTTTAAGGGGGGATGGGGGAATGGAATGGCACATCCTGCATTTTTTCAACAAAAAAAGGATCAAACCTGATTATTTATTATTTTTAATTTATTCTAATCCCCCACCCCCCTTTTCCGTTTTTCCCCAAATAAAAATCAAATGTTAGATTGCTTACCTCTGAAATCTTTTTCATAAATTACTTACTTTCGAAGTTGCATTTTAAAAAGTGTCAAATGTGTACGACATTCATCTTTTACTTGACATGGTTCTTTTTATAAAATTATTAGATTCTTGAATTTCTTGAGAAAAAACTCTCGGCTGAAGGGAAGTGAAAAAAAAAGTTTGTTTAAACTGTAACTTACATTAGCTGGTATATTGCCATTTAAGTTTCTAATCTGTTTAATTTTGCTACCTTTTCTAAATGCAAAATGTACTACTTCTTTCTTGAAACGTCGTACAAGTCAGATACAAAACAAAGATAACAAAAAAAAAACAGGCCGGAAACAAACTGCCGTATAGTTTTTCTGCACTTATTGTCAGGTCAAGGTCCTCGGCTATCGCCTCGGACCTTCACCTGACTACTCGTGCAGAAAAAATATCCGGCAACGGTTGTTACCGGCCTGTTTTTTTGTTACCTTTGTATCTTATCTAATACTTACAGCACTTGATCGATACCGCTGCTGGTAGACTATCAGTCCCCGATGATATCATCAGCTCAGTAGTTAGTATTTCGATCGGTACTGACATGATTTATAACAAACCTTTCTAAAATTGTCCGTTTATAAATTTTGAAATTATAAAGAAACCCAAATTACAATTCCTCAGTCAAAGTAGACCATAGCTGACTATGCGGTATGGGTTTGCTCATTGTTGAAGGCCGTACGGTGACATATAGTTGTTAATTTCTGTGTCATTTGGGCTCTTGTGGAGAGTTGTCTTATTGTCAATCATACCACATCTTCTTATTTTTATACTTATTTCTCAATGCCGCATGTTCAGCTTAGAGGCAGTAAATACATAATTTCTTTGGTTTTACAGCCGGAGATCGAACCCACGATCCCACACGCTACCACAAAACAACCAAGACAGTACACGAACAATAAAAAGTCGCCAAGTCTTACCTTTAACATGTACGGCTATGATACAACGACACATAATCTCTTACTAAATAATAAATATATTAGAAAACCAATAAGGTCTTTCCCACGTTGGGAAAGACCTTAAAAATGTTATACGGTGTTGATAATTTTTTTTTCTTTTTTCTTATTTTGGTTGACTTTGAAAGAAAGAAGAAATAAAGAAAGAAGATTTCCTACAGGCTAAATGTAGATTTTTTTTATCTAAACATATGTATAGAACAAATTCATTTTAGTCACAAAGCAAAAGCATCTTACAAACTCGCATTGTGTGTCGACGTACAATTTGAAAGGATTTAAATTCAAAAAATTATTTGTTCTTTTTGATTATCTAACATATATATATATAAATATATGAAGCAAAGAATCTTTTCGTAAATAATTTCAATTTTGAAGTTGAAATCATACCTTCGTAAATGTTTCGGACGCCATCACGAATTTGTTGACTCTTATGGAATATCTGTTTCACAGATGACTACGGATGTGTTCCAATTGTTGTACTCACAATCCCGTCCTCTTTTCCCCGAATGTGACCTACCGAATTAGACTTATCACCGTTTTTGTACTTACATGAGCAACCCGACGGGTAGCACATGTGGAGCAGGGTCTGCTTACCATTCCGGAGCAACTGCGGTCACCCCTGATGTTTGGTTGGGTTCGTGTTGCTCAGTCTTTAGTTTTAATGTTGTGTTTTGTGTACAGTTGTTTGTCTTTTGGTCTTTTTCTTTTTTTTTTGCCATGGTGTTGTGAGTTTATTTTCGACTTTGAGTTTGAAATTCCCTTTGGTATTTTTTGCCTATAAAGTCAACGGACTCAGTATCCGATAAATTGAATGAGGAATA